GGTACGTACTTCTCCAGAAAGAGAGTGGAGAACTGCTGCCATGTAAGGGGCGCTGCACCAACCGGCCTACGCCTCTCGAAGTCCTCCCACCAGGTGAATGCAGACCCTGAGAACTGGAAAGTAGTAAAAGCCACACCACTCGACTCTAAGATCCCTGCAGTGCGAAGCATACGCTGACACTTATCCAGAAAACCTTGGGCATCCTCGCCCTCAGCACCGCTGAACGTCGGAGGTTGAAGCCTGCCGAATCTCTCAAGACGACGCTACTCATCGTCCGGCATAGCTGGAACCTCATAGGCTGGAACTGGTGCAACTGGTGCAACTGGAGCAACTGGAGCAACTGGCGGAGCTATGGCTGCTTCCAGTGTCTGAAATCCCTGGGCAACTTGCTCAGGTGTGTGAGCAACAGGGGTCTGATGTCCTCCCCCGGTCTGGGAAGCAGCTGCTGCAGTAGAAGCTGAGACCGCCTGAGCCAGGCCAGTACAAACTGATAGTATCTGTGCAAAGGTCTCCTGGAGACCAGGAATAGCAATAGGCACTGCTGGTGCCTGCACAGGTGCTGCTGGGACATCGACAACTGGAGTCTGGTCCTGAACTGTGGCAGCTGGTGGGTCAGAAAGTGCTGTCTCTGCTGCCCTACCTCGACCACGCCCACGACCGCGTCCACGGCCTCTAGTGGGTGGTACTGGTGGTCGACCATCGCGTCCGGTAGCACGAGTTCTCGCAATCTGCGAGAGAATAGAATACAGAGATTTAGTTCTCGAATCACAAAGCCGTACGACAAGAATTTCAAGAATATGGAGTTTTCCTAAAGGTTCTGCAGCCTCTCGAGGAGAAGTACAGGCGTCCCCGTACCGTTCCGCGAGACTCTACTAAACCGGCTCATGACTCGCGAGGCCTACTAACCTAGGCTCCGATACCAACTTGTCACGACCCCAATCCCGGTCATGATGGCGCCCAACACTAATGCTAGGCAAGCCCGACCAATTATATACTCTCAACCCAAATACACAATCTGTTAACAAATAATACGATTAAAATAGCAATTATCAAGGTTCCAATCCGAATCTAAATAAAATAGTACGGAAAATAATAACGAATATCCAAACATTCCCCAATAGATCTGGAGTCACAAGTCTAGAGCCTCTAGATGTAACAGAGTAATCTATCCATAGTAATAAAGAAGTCTAGGATATGGAAAGATAAATAAAATAAAGGGGAGGAGTCGGGTCCTGCGGACGTCAGGCAGCTACCTCAACAACTCCTGAAATATCAACTTCACGAAAACAGCAAACAGCTCCACTAAGTCTCCGGAGCACCTGAATCTGCACACATGGTGCAGGGAGTAAAGTGAGTACTTCCAACTCAGTGAGTACTTCCAAGCCTCTAGATGTAACAGAGTAATATATCCATAGTAATAAAGAAGTCTAGGATATGGAAAGATAAATGAAATAAAGGGGAGGAGTCGGGTCCTGCGGACGTCAGGCAGCTACCTCAACAACTCCTGAAATATAAACTTCACGAAAACAGCAAACAGCTCCACTAAGTCTCCGGAGCACCTGAATCTGCACACATGGTGCAGGGAGTAAAGTGAGTACTTCCAACTCAGTGAGTAATAAACATATATAATGACTGAAAGTAAGAAATCCCGAAATATTACAATATAAAGCTATAATCAACGATTCAGCATGTTAAATGATGAAACAACAGCAGACAATGACAATTAAGACCAGCAGATATAAAATGCATGAATGCAACAGCCGATCCATTTGGGTACCCGTGCTCACTGTGGGGGTTCAGACTCCGGAGGGGCTCCTACAGCCTAAGCGCAATATCATCGTAGCATTCGCTGCGGCGTGCAGCCCGATCCACACTCAGTCCAGATATATGCATGCAAGCCACTCGGGCACAGTCAAGTTTATCAATTTCAGTTCTAATTATTAGGGATTATAGAGCTAAGTGTTTAAACCTTTATTTATTTACTAAACATTTCGAGGCAGTGTCTAATTCAGGACTGATATCATGAAATATTCTAAGCATCATGGAAGTAGTGATAAGGTTCCCTGAAGGATGCACATGATAGGCACAAAGCCCCAAACATATTCATAAAATCCAAGTAGGATGATTACTAAATAATTTTTAGTCAAGAACACAGTACGAACATCAATCGGAACGGACTAGGTTACAATCCCCAGTCACAATCGACCCCGCACTCGTCATAGAGTACGTGTCTCGCCTCAATATAGCGTCACAATGTGATATACCGGGGTTTCAAACCCTCAGGTCATCATCTATATCTATTACTCACCTCAAGCCGGCCACAAGTCTAGCTCGCTATGCCTTTGCCTTTCGAATCAACCTCTTCGCACGCCGAATCTGATTAAAACCACAACGAATACATTACAATAGGCTAAAGAAACATAACCCAATCGAAAAGACTCGAAAAACACCAAAATTCACGAAGTTGGCAAAACCCGAGCTCCGGGCCCACTTCTCGAAAAATTACGAAATTTACATCACTGGATTCCTCGTCTCGCCACGAGTCTACACATACCAATTTTACCAAATTCGGAGTTCAAATGCCCTTTCAAAATCCGTTTTTACATCACAACTTTCCAAGCCCTAGCTTGACCCGTTTTTTATGAATTTTCCACAATTTACATGTAATTTCTACCATAAACTCGAATAATTAGGCCAAGAGACTTACCTCCAATTGATTCTCAGTCAAAGCCCTCGAAAATTCTCGCTCAAAGCTCTCAAAACCGCTTAAAAATGGTGGAAACCAACTCTTGTTCGCGGATGAAATTTAATATTTTAAACCCTTCTGTAACAGTTATTTTTCGCTTCTGCGGTCCCGCTTCCGCTTATGCGGGACCGCTTCTGCGGTCAGAAGTCCGCTTAAGCGGTTTTCATTAAAGTTACAATTTCCGCTTTTGCGTCCCAAAATCCGCTTCTGCGGATCACCCAGTACCGCTTCTGCGGTTGACAGTCCGCTCCTGCGGACTAGCTTTTGCGGACTATATTCCGCTTTTGCGGAATCTCCTCACCAGGCCACGAACCGCTTCTGCGCTCCTTTACCTGCTTCTGCGGTCCATTTCTGCAGAAGCGGAAATACCAGATGACAGCAACAACAGACCTGAAGCAAACTTCAAAACTCTCGTTTAAACACCCGAACTCACTCCGAGGCCCCCGGGACCTCAACCAAAAGCACAGACATGTTCTATTACCTTATTCAAACTTGCTCGAACCCTCGAAACACTATCGTTAACATCAAAATCCTCAAATTTCATCAAATCAAAGCCTATGTTTCTTAAAAACCTCCGAATTGCACATTCGATCAAAAACCCGACCTAAACACCTCCGAATGACCTGAAACTTTGCACACATATCCAAAATCACCTAACGGAGCTACTGCAACTCTCGGAATTCCATTCCGATCCTCAGATCAAAATCTCACCTATCCACCGGAATTCGCCAAAGTGCCAACTTTGCCAATTCAAGCCTAATTCTACTCCGGACCTCCAAAATCACTTCCGATCGCACTCCTAAGTCACAAATCACCTCCCGAAGCTAACCGAATCACCGGAATTCACATCCGAGCCTTCTAACTAATAAGTCAACGTTCGGTTGACTTTTCCAAACCAAACCTTCCTTAAAGAGACTAAGTGTCTCATTTCCTATCCAAACCAATTCAATTCAACTCTAACTCACCCGTTGCTGATAATAAAACATGAAAGAGCAATAAATGGGGGAAACGGGGCTGTAATACATGAGACGACGGGTTGGGTCGTCACAAAAACGTTGAGAGATTATGCAGTTTTAACCAAATACTCATGAAAGAGTCCAGTAATGAGTGAGTCTATTACTCAAATGGTCACTGAACTAGCCCAAATTATCTCCTAAAGTCACTTTTCTTTCGTTTTTAACAGCAAAGTCACTGAACTATGTCTATTACACTCAAAAGGTCACTTCACTAGATTTTCCAAATTTTGGATTGCCAAATACCTATTTTACCCTCTAAATTATAAACATTTATCTTCTTTTTATTATTTTTAAACTTTTTAATATTATGATTTTTTTCCTTTTTAATTTATATTATGGACTTACCTATAAAATAAATATATTATTTATAAATTAATAAAATAAAAAGTATTTAAGCATATATAATGCTGGAATAATAAAATAATGAGCATAGTAAAAAATTAATTAGAATAATTTGTTAGTAATAATAATTTTAGTATTAACAATAAAAATTCAAAAATTTATTTACACAATTCAGAATGAAAGAAAATAAAGGTTGTAAAATATATATTCCATGCGTGTAATATAAAAATAATTATTTAAATAAAGGTATTTTTTAATATACATAATATATTCTTGAAATTACGCTCAATTATGTTACATATATTCCATGCACGCCTTAACATAGCATATATTACCCTGTACAAGTAATCCTCCTGCTTTCTGGTGACATAACTTTGTGTCGTCGGAAAGTTGGTAGAAACATAATAATATAATTGAGCATAATTTTCAAAAATATATAATGTATAGTATAAAATACTCTTATTTAAAAAATTATTTTTATATTACGTGCATGTAATGTATATTTTACAACCTTTATTTCTTTCATTCTGAATTGTGTAAATAAATTTTTGAATTTTTGTTGTTGATACTAAAATTTTTATTACTAACAAATTATTCTAATTAATTTTTTTACTATGCTCGTTATTTTATTATTCCAGCATTATATATGCTTAAATACTTTTTATTTTTTTAATTTATAAATAATATTAATTTATTCTATAGGTAAGTCCATAATATAAATTAAAAGGGAAAAAATCACATATTGAAAAGTTTAAAAATAATAAAAAGAAGATAAATGTTTATAACTTAGAGGGTAAAATAGGTATTTGGCAATCCAAAATGTGGAAAATCTAGTTGAGTGACCTTCTGGGTGCAATAGGCATAGTTTAGTGACTTTGTTGTTACAAACGAAAGAAAAGTAACTTTAGAAGATAATTTGGGATAGTTCAGTAACCATTTGAGTAATGAGATCTACAGCAGATTCTGTCCTTGAACAAAACTCAGACCAGAGTGCTCTTCAAATTAGTCAACCCACCAGAGACTCCAAGTTTGCTCAGGAGAGACCACTACAGTAGCTTGTATACAAAATAAATGTGGCGGTTCCTCTGTGGAACATAACCAACCCTGTTAAACAATAAAATTGTGTATTGAGAAAAGGAGTGCAAAAAAGAACTTGACAAACTTGTCTAAACGAAAATTTACCTAACGTAATTGCCGCCCAAGGATTTTCACTTGATATGCTACACCAACGTTCTAGGAGGGGAGTCTTGACGTAACTGGTAAAGTTGATGTCATGTGACTAGCAAGTCACATGTTCGAGCTGTGGAAACATTATCTTGTAGAAATGCAGGTTAAGACTGCGTACAATAAATCTTGTGGTCCGGCCCTTCCCCGGACCCCGTGCATAGCGGGAGCTTAGTGCACTAGACTGCCCTTTTTTTTTTTTTTATGCTACAACAATGTTCTAGCATGACATTTGATCTAGTTACCTATGAGAAAGAACAAATTTTCATGATTAAACCACATCATTAAAGAAATGTTGATATTCCCCGCTTGTTGAAGAATTAGAAGAACAACATTGGTTTCAAATGAAAGAGCAAATGCTGAAAGGAAAGCACACATGCACTTCACTGATAACGTTGTATTTTTCTTGACGTCAGATAAATGCAAGAAAAAGGATTGAATTAATATTAAAAACAATATTTATGGAATTCTCCAATACTATAGCAACATTCACTGGTTTGCTGACTGAAAAGTTTGGAAAACTAAATGAGAGAAGGAGAGGAGAGGAACTCGTGGAAAAAAAGAAAGAAAATCAACTCACAAACTGAAAGAGAAACAGAGACTTACGTAAGTTCTGAATTGTCCTCCCACCTACTTCAATTTCTGGAATATGGTAAATGTTGGACCACTGGCCGTTTGGGCCACTCCGACTGGTGCAACTTTCTTCTAACTGTGGGCAGCCATCAATTCGCAGATACTGTACTTTGGTGAGGCGTTGCATGGCAGCTCCGGGTGGCAGATGCTGTAGTTTTTCGCAGTCTGTTAAAATTAATGATTCCAAAGAAACAAGGTTGACAAGCCGATCCGACACAGCTTCTAATAATGGACAATCAAAGATACGCATATCCGATAATTTGGGTGCATCTAAGAAGTCCAGATGTTGTAGCCGTTTGATGTTCACTAACACTAATGTTTCTAGAGAAGTAAGGTTGTCAAGTCCATGAAGAAGAGCCTCGATTCCAAAATCATATATTCGGATCTCTGTTAGGGCAGAGAGTTGCATAACCTGATAAGGCAGAGAAACCCAGTGTGCATGTCCGTACACCCACAATGTACTAAAGGAGGATAGCTGCTGAATGCCATTAAAAAACAATTGGAATGCCTCAATATCCACCAACTTTGAGAAAGGACGAATATATATATATATATATATATATATATATATATATACTGGAAAGTAAAGGCATTTCCCACACATGTAAAGGCAAAGCAACTAAGTTGCTACAGTCCCAAACTGTCTAAGATTCAAAAGACCGACAATTCTCTAGCAATCCACTTGGTAAACTAGTCAATCCATGACAAGCGGATAACTCAAGACTTAGGAGGTCAGTCAAATAATTCTGTCCATTAGGAAAAGGAATAGAACTGATATTGGTGCAGCTCTCAATCAGCAAGCTCTTAAGAGAATGCAGATTGTACAAACTTTGTGGCAATTCACGAAACTCCCCGCAATTTAAGACTGATATATGTTGAAGAGAAAATTTGTTGTTGTCTAGCATCTCATCTGGAAGACAAGTGAGCTCTTTCACATTATTGACAAAAAGCTTTACGAGAGATGTCAAGTTGCTGCACAAGTTCAACAATGGCATTTCACTGTCAACTCCTTCAATGCTTAATTTATGCAGCATTTCAAATTGATTTGGAGTACTTTTTAACAATGGACACTACTTAATCCTCAACTTCTCAAGTCCAGGAAACATTCTTACACCAACTCCATCTCTACCACCATAACCTGCTGCAATCAATTCCACTCAGTAAGGCTAGGCATATCCTCCAATAAGGCGTATTTAGAGCATCACTTGTGTACTCTCCATTTTAATACTGGTATTTGATGCCGATTCTTTGAATTAGTATTTACCAATTTGCAGAATCTCCACATAATAAATGAATACCCTCAAAAGGAAAAAAGCATAGAGAAGAGGGGGAAAAAAGATATTCCAGCAAGAACAATATAATTACAAATAATTTCCAACATCCTCCTTCATTTCACGACACCAATCTTGGAAAATATTACATCTTTTGCATATATCTCTTTCCTAATATCAAATATAAAGAAGAGAATGAGTAAAAATTCATACCTTTTTTGATCTTACTTGTAATTCTTTCATCGACAAAGCCTTAACTGGTAGATGATTATGAGTGTCACATTGTCTTACCTCATCCACTTTTATTTCCAGTCGTCACATCTCCAAAAATAGCTCTGGAAACCCAAGGCAGTCACTTGAGCAAACAGAGGGATGAATTCCAAATAATGCAAAACTCCCCTATGTTTCAATACTGTATATAGGTATTCAGTAAGATTCATAAGAAGAAGATTTGATACTCAAGAGTACTATATATCACATACCCGTGCATCCTAACTCCTAAGTCCAACCAAAATCTATGCTCTTCTCATTTCAAGGTCGAAAGTTGAGAGTTCTTTACTAGAACTGATTTAAAATGCCAAAGGAAAAAGAGATTATGAACCAACATTTGAAGAACTGTCAGATTAAGAAAGGAAGGAAATAACAGAGAACAATCATTTGCAAGTAGTAGTTTAATTTTACCATGTAAAAACAATCCAAAATCTGTCTTATTGAAATGTTTCTTGAAGCATATAAGCCTGATTCCTGATAAACAAGATCCCTCTCATAGATGTTTTTCTACTAACAAAGAAGTTTATTTACACGCGAGATTATTGCTCAAGAACAATATGTCTATGCTTCTTGTTGCGTCAATGCATGTGTATCAAAGTAAGAGATGGCGACAGCAGCATGAAGAGCTGCTCCAAAAGGAAGAACCTCTTCATTGACAGTGAAGTAGGGGGAGTGTATATCTATAATAGCAGATGTGATAGTTTTATTTTGCGTCCCAATGCTAAAGAATGCAGCTGCCATTTTCTGGGAATAGAAGCTGAAGTCCTCTGCGCCCATTGAAATAGGATCAAGCAGCACATTTTGCTCACCAAGCAAGACTTGTCCAACTTTTCTGACATGCTCATACAATTTGGGATCATTTAGAGTTGGTGGATATGGCCTCAGTTCCTCCATGAAATTGACAGTAGCCGAACACAGATGTACAGCTGCTTGAGTCTCTATCACCTGCAAGAAGTATGTATTTGCAATTTTACTTGTCTATAATAGTATGGTTGCACAAAACCAATGTTATCAAAAGTGGAAAGCACTAAAAAGCTCTAAGGTCTGTTGGGGTTTTAAGCGCAAATAAAGTGTGGGCTTTAACAAAGAAAGGCGCAAATGGAGAAAAAAGATAAATATTTATGTATAGTCCAAGACTAATATCTATAAGCATGAATACCAAATATATGGACAAAGAAATTGACGAAAATTTACAATAGAGTGAAATATCAATTGTTTAGTGTCACCTCTTCGGGTTTATGCTCATTGGCAAGGAAAAGTATTCCTTAGAGCCTTGATGATAGCACCGAAGCACCTGCTAAGCGAGGCGAAGTGCTCCACATGTTTTGAGCCTCGCTTCAAGGCTTAAGTGCGCCTTTGATAAAAGTGCGCAAAACAATTTTTGAAGTATAGCAAACAAGATCTTGATAGACAACTAGAACATAGTGAGTAATTGAACGGGTTCCTTGAGAAAAGATCTGAGACATACCTCTTTGATCCTCCGCTGAAGATAGGAATAACCTTCTGATGTCATGAACCGAAATGTTCCACCTAAATCTACACTTGCAGGGATAACATTTCCTGCTTGACCACCGTCTACAAATCCAATAGAGACAACCTAAAGATCAACAGAAAAAGAAATCGTCAGATCTGAACAAAAACTGAAACATTATTTGAACTGCTTGGAAAAAAAGGGACAAATACGTACTCTAGGCTCCAGAGGATCAGTTTCTCGGGAAACAAGTTGTTGTAGTGCAAGAACTGCCATAGAAGTAGCTAGGATTGGGTCTCTAGTTTTATGTGGGGTTGCTGCATGTCCACCTTTCCCTTGTATCGTTGCTTTGAACCTGCCTGAGCCAGCCATGATAGGACCAGGTCGAGAACTGATAGTACCAACGGGCATAAATGGTGAGACATGCAAGCCAAATATTGCTTGAAACCTGTTTAGTGCCCCTCCTTCTAACATATAGGAGGCACCACCGTAGCCTTCTTCTGCTGGTTGGAAGACAAGCTTCACAGTGCCCTTTAGTTTAGAACGTAGGTTACACAAATCAGTTCACCCGAAAATTAAGAGCAAGAAAGGATGTAGGCAGTTCATCTCAAAATTTATATTAGTTCTTCTAACCTTCAACTTATCTGTTCTGTTTTGAAGCAATCTCGCTGCTCCAAGCAGCATGGCGACGTGAACATCATGGCCACAGGCATGCATTTTGCCATCGATCTTGCTTTTGTGCTCCCACTCTACCAATTCCTTTCATAATGTTGCTTCTATTCAAACATTCTACTCAATGAAGCAATTCTTTCTAATGGCAAAAACAGTTAAACAAAGGAAAAAGCACCAAATGATAAAAATGAGAGCAATTTTTCTAACTTTCCTTTTCCTTCTCCAAATAGAAGTAATTGGAAGGGAGAGGGGAGAGGGCGTGCCACAGACGCACAGAGAGAATACTCTGAGTTAGAAATATCGCTCTTTTAAGTAATACTTAGCAAATTAAAAGAGTTACCTTTAGAAACAAGTTAGACTCACAAATTTTTGAGCTTCTTCTCAATTTACGGTCTATATCTATCTCTACTTATGAGCTAGAGAATCAACAACAACAAACCCAGTATAATCTCACAAGTAGGGTCTGGGAAAGCTAGAGCGTAACAGACCTTATCCCTACCTGGTGAAGATAGTGTTGGGAAAAAGAATAGACCCGCAAAAATAATATTCACGGTATTAGTGATAAACGCGGAACACTAAGTTATGGTTAAATCAGCAAGAACAGAAATGCAGCAATAATGACACCAAGATTTTACGTGGAAAACCCTTCTGAATAAGGGAAAAAACCACAGCCAAGAAGAGCAACTGATATCACTATAACGAGAAATTTTACACTGTGTAGTAACGAGTACAAATACTCCTAAGACCACTACACCCTCAAAAGAAAAAACACTCTTTTGCTTTTTCCACCTCACTACAATATTTTCTCACACTCTATTTTTCTTCACAGACTATTTTCTTATAGTCTATGGAATACCTTGCTCTCTCTCTCACTCAATGTATTGTGTGAGATTTTTGGTGTGTAGAAATGAGAGTTGAAGCTCTCCTTTTATAGCCAAAACATCACTCTCTAAAGCCTACAATATTTGACATGCACACACTTTTCACAATTTCAACAAGGTTGGCTACCAAACCAAACCAAGTCAACAAGACTGGCTACCAAACCAAAGAAATTCAACAAGGTTGGCTACCAAACAAAAGAAACTTTCCTTAGTCACATGCCTATTACTTTGGCTTTTGAATGAGATGGACACCATCAATCTCCCCCTCCAGTCTCATTCATCTAGAGGAGGTAGCACTGTCTTCTAGTTTGAGTGCATGCCGACAAGTTCTTCGCATAGCTCGAACTTATCTCTTGGTACCACCTTGGTCAGCATATCTGCAGGATTTTCACTCGTGTGAATCTTTTTGACTTGAAGTGATTCGTTCTCCACCTGCTCACGAATCCAATGATATCTGACGTCGATGTGTTTTGTTCTCGCATGGTACATGGAGTTTTTGCTCAGGTCTATTGCACTCTGACTGTCGCAATAGACAACATACTCCATCTGTCGCAATCCAAGTTCTTGAAGAAATCTCTTGAGCCATATCATCTCCTTGCCCGCTTCAGTAGTCGCAATATACTCTGCTTCAGTTGTAGACAGTGCAACACACTTCTGCAACTTCGACTACCATGATATAGCTCACCCAGAAAAAGTAAACAAATATCCAGTATTGGATTTTCTGTTATCAAGGTCACCTGCCATATCAAAATCTGTATAGCCCTTCAAAATTGGATTTGATCCTCCAAAACATAAGTATTCATGTGAGCTTCCTCTTAGATACCTGAGTATCCACTTTACAGCTCCCCAATGCTCTTTTCCTGGATTTTCGAGAAATCTGCTAACAACACCGACTGCATGAGCAATATTTGGTCGAGTGCATACCATTGCATACATCAAACTTCCGACGGCAGAGGAATAAGGAATCTTGGCCATTCTCTCTTTTTCGTCCGTTGTTGTAGGAAACATCTTCTTGCTCAACTTCAGATGACCAGGAAGGGGTGTGCGAACCAACTTAGCACTTTTCATATTGAAGCGCTCCAGTACACGTTCTATGTACTTCTCCTGTGACAAGTAAAGCTTCCTTTCGTTTCTCGAACGAGTAATTCTCATGCCCAAAATCTGCTTAGCATGACCCAAGTCTTTCATTGCAAAAGACTTATTCAATTGTTTCTTCAACTTGTCAATCTTGTAAGCATTCCTGCCCACAATCAACATATCATCCACATATAGCAAGAGGATGATAAAGTCATCATCAGAAAATCTTTGTACAAACACACAGTGATCTGAAGAAGTCTTCTTGTAGCCTTGCTCTCCCATAACAGACTCAAACTTCTTGTACCACTGTCTGGGAGCTTGCTTCAATCCATATAGACTCTTCTCAAGTTTGCATACAAGATTTTCTTTACCTTTTGCCTTGAAGCCCTCAGGTTGTTCCATATAAATCTCCTCTTCTAAGTCACCGTGAAGAAAAGCAGTCTTCACATCCATCTGCTCAATCTCCAAATCAAGACTAGCAGTCAAACCAAGAACTATCCGAATGGAGGACATTTTCATGACAGGAGAAAATATTTCGTCAAAGTCAATACCTTTCCTTTGACCAAATCCCTTGACAACCAATCTAGCTTTGTATCTGGGTTTCAAACTATGTTCTTCAGCTTTAACTTTGAACACCCACTTGTTTTTCAAAGCTCTCATGCCCTTAGGCAATTTCACCAACTCATAAGTATGGTTCTCATGCAGAGATTTCATCTCATCTTGCATGGCTTCAATCCATTGATCCTCGTGCTCATCTTCTATGGCCTCCGCATAACATTCAGGTTCTCCCCCATCAGTGAGTAATACATACTCATTGGGTGAATAACGGGAGGAAGGAGTACGAGGTCTAGAAGACCTCCTGAGTGGAATATCTAACTCGTCCACAGCTTCGTGAGTAGAAGCATCTGCCTCATCAACATTAGCATTGTTATCACCATCACCATCAATATGTTGATCTGGAATATGGTTCTGGGCATCACCATCATCATTGAGCCCACCAACGTCATCCGCATTTGTATGAGGAACTTGATCAAGATTAACTAAACCTTCAGAACTTGGAGGTTTTAGCTTCTCCGCTTTGTTAATATCTTCAATGGTTTGATCCTCCACGAAGATAACATCACGGCTTCTCACGACCTTCTTCTCAATTGGATCATATAGCCTGTAACCAAACTCATCAAGGCCATAACCAATGAAGATGCACTGCCTTGTCTTAGCATTTAATTTTGACCTCTCATCTTTAGGCACATGTACAAAAGCTTTGCAACCAAACACTTTCAAGTGGTCATAGGAAACATCCTTGCCATACCAAACTCTGTTTGGAACATCACCTTGCAAAGCAACCGTAGGGGATAGATTAATAACATGTGCGGCGGTCAACAAAGCCTCACCCAAAAGGAATTCGGCAACTTTGCTTCAGAAAGCAAACATCTGACTCTTTCCATCAAGGTCCTGTTCATCCTTTCTGCTAAACCATTAAGCTGAGGAGTCTTAGGAGGAGTCTTCTGGTGTCTGATACCCTGCTGCTTGCAGTATTCGTCAAACGGTCCACAATATTCACCACCGTTATCAGTACGAATACACTTCAGCTTCTTTCCAGTTTCTCTTTCAACTGAAGCCTGAAACTGCTTAAAGACACCCAACACTTGGTCTTTAGTCTTCAAGATGTAGACCCAAAGTTTCCTTGAGCAATCATCAATAAAGGTAGCAAAATAAAGTGCACCACCCAAAGTCCTTGTCTTCATTGGACCACATAAATCCGAATGCACCAACTCAAGCAACTCTGTCTTTCTTGAAGGAGGATGAGACTGGAAAGAAACTCTTTTTTGTTTTCCAGCCAAGCAGTGCTCACATTTTTCTAATTTTGCACTTTCAAAATTTGACAACAATTTCTTCTTGGCCAAAACATTTAGTCCTTTCTCGCTAATATGGCTAAGCCTCTTATGCCATAACGTTGAAGAGTTATTGCTCTCAAGGCATTCACCATATCAACACAGGTAGAGGTCGTAGTCCAGTATAGACCACGATGCTTTTCCCCACGAGCCACAATCATGGAACCCTTAGTGAGCTTCCACTTTCCAGCACCATTGGTACTGACATATCCCTCATCATCCAAAACACCAACAGAGATCAAGTGCAAACGAACATCAGGTGCAAGCTTTACATTGTTTAAAACTAGTTTAGTTCCAATACTAGTTTCCAAACAAATCGTTCCAACACCAGCCACCTTAGATACAGTCTCATTACCCATACTCAAAGTTCCAAAGTCACCCTGAGTATAGGATGAGATAAATTCCTTCCTTGATGTCACATGAGATGCGGCACCACTGTCCACAACCCAACTTGACTCATCATAAGCAATATTTATCAGATCCGCACCAAGGACAGTAACAAGATCTTCTGTAGTGACGGTGGCCACACGATTTCCATCTTCTTTCTGTTCTTCCTTGTCTCTATTCTCCTTTTTCAAAATCCGGCAGAACTTCTTTGTGTGCCCTTTCTTCCCGCAATGATAGCACTCAATATCTTTAAGTCTGCTTTTGGATTTGCTTCTATTATGTTCTCTATTTTGAGAACCTCGATTCTTGCTTCTCCCCCTAGAGTCAGTCACCAAGACATCTGATGAGGAGGAACCCTGAGATTTTCTTCTCATTTCTTCATTTAAAAGGCTGTTCTTGGCAAGATCCGTAGAGATCACACCATCCGGAGCAGAATTTGATAATGAAGTTCTAAGAACTTCCCAAGAATCTGGTAGGGAACCAAGTAGAAACAAGCCTTGAATTTCTTCATCAAATTTAATGCTCATAGCAAATAACTGGTTCATGATCCCCAACATCTGCTTTATCAAAAACATCTTGTTGTTTTCCGTTTTCCGAGCATACAAACTTTCAAGGTGCTCCGATAGGGTCCGAGCATGTGTCTCCCCAGAAATATGGTTCAAAACATTATCGTCAACCCACTGTCTAATAAAGCCGCAAACCTGCCTGTGTAACAAATTCCACTCTTCATCTGATTTATTATCAGGCTTTATAGAGGTGAAGACAGGTTGGTGAAAATTCTTGACATAGAGCAAATCTTCCATTTTGCCCTTCCAAATGGCATAATTTGTGCCACTTAAAGTAACCATTCTACTAGTGTTGACTTTCCATCGTTTATCGCAAATACAAATACTATTTATTAGGAGACCAAAGTAATTCTTGTTAGATGTGGAAGTTCAGACTATGCTGCAACCATAGAGCATACTCAGACAGAACCTTGGCTCTGATACCACTTGTTGGGAAAAAGAATAGACCCGCAAAAATAATATTCACGGTATTAGTGATAAACGCGGAACACTAAGTTATGGTTAAATCAGCAAGAATAGAAATGCAGCAATAATGACACCAAGATTTTACGTGGAAAACCCTTCTGAATAAGGGAAAAACCCACAGCCAAGAAGAGCAATTGATATCACTATAGCGAGAAATTTTACACTGTGTAGTAACGAGTACAAATACTCCTAAGACCACTACACCCTCAAAAGCAAAAACACTCTTTTGCTTTTTCCACCTCATTACAATATCTCTCACACTCTATTTTTCTTCACAGACTATTTTCTTATAGTCTATGGAATACCTTGCTCTCTCTCTCACTCAGATGTATTGTCTGAGATTTTTGGTGTGTAGAAATGAGAGTTGAAGCTCTCCTTTATAGCCAAAACCTCACTCTCTAAAGCCTACAATATTTGACAATTTGCACACACTTTTCACAATTTCAACAAGGTTGGCTACCAAACCAAACCAAGTCAACAGATTGGCTACCAAACCAAAGAAATTCAACAAGGTTGGCTACCAAACTAAAGAAACTTTCCTTAGACACATGCCTATTACTTTGGCTTTTGAGTGAGATGGACACCACCAGATAGAGGGTTGTTTTCTAAAGACCCTCGGCTCAAGGAGTTATGAGCTAGTGAATGGCATCATTAATTCCATTACAAACTTAACATGTAACAGGTATATCTACTTACACTTCATACTGCAAAAGTATGAATTTGTAGAAGGCGTATGACATTTTTCTTGAGGAAACTTCTAATGTGATCTAAAGCAGGAATCTAAAATGTTCCCGATGGATATAAAACTTCTCTTTAAATATGAGTGCTGAGGTAAAGAAAGAAAATAGATCAGAGACTAATTTAACTAGCAAGTTAGAGTAACTACTTAAACAGCAAGCCAGCGGCTCAATATTGCGTGAACAGCTCCGAAAGAAAGGAATTGAATACAAAAAACTATTAAAAGCTATAATAAGATGGTGAATGAGTTGAAATAGAGGAAATTCAATCTGAAGAATCATACTGTAGGCCAAACAAATCATCATTTTTTTTGGATAAAAAGAAGATGTAAATTATGCATGGACTACAAGAGCAAATACATCGTATTCCATAAAGTAACATGCATCGAGAATAAGCATCAAGTACTTTGATCACTTCTAAATGTTGATATTAGTATTTCAAGCTAGAGAAAATATATATTATCAGAGACAAAATCACTGCAACTGATACAGCAGTTTGGTGGCTTCCAAGACTAGGTTTAACAGTTGAGAGTTATCATGTGCTATTCGCTCTTTGAGTATCAAGTAAGTAAAGTTTTATTGATTTCCCTTGAAATTTAGGCTTTGCCAATTGCTAGATTTTCAAAGTTTTTCGAAAATTTCAGATCACTCACAAAATTTCAAAAATAACCCAAAATTATATTGATATTCAAGCACAACTCTACTTTCAAATACCATTTTCGCTTAGTAAAAAATTCAATTTTATTTTGAAATTTTACAATTCTTATGTCCAAAAGCCCACTAAGTCATTCGTACCATACATACCAAAAGGAAAAAATAGAGAAAAAAAGGAGAGGGAGAAAAACCTGAATAGGAAGAGCATCCATATCAGCTCTTAAACCGAACCAAGGTTGAGATCCAGACCCAATGGTTCCAACCAAACCAGTTTTAGCTACGGGCCACAAATACTTGACGCCGAGCCAGTCCAGCTCATTTTTAATGAGTTGACTCGTTTGGTGCTCTTGAAAAGCCAATTCTGGGTACTCATGTATTCTCCTACGGATCCTCCTCAACCAATCGAAGAACTCCGGCTGCTTCGCCGATTCCAAAAGTTCTCTTGTTAAAAGCTCACTTGTAGTAGTACTAGTATGCAGAACGCATGAATTTTGAAAGAAATTAGCAAATAGCAGTGCCAACATGAAGTAAACGTAGAACGAACCCATCCAACAATCTTTGGCTTGATCGTGCTCCTTTCAACGAATTGACATCATTGATTGTTTTTTTCCAAATTTGACATGAATTAAGGTCTATTCAGTTGAACACCTCGACTTATAATAAAGTATTCCTATTAAATATTTCGGGCTTAAATTTTTGAAAATCTTTTGTTTGTCTTCTTTTGTTACGTGAATAAATTAACCACTTAAACATTAGATATATAAGTATTGTATGGGTCAAAATCTACTACAAGTGGATTACCATTAAAAGGAATGGAAAGCGGTCGACCAAGCCATGGACGTACCCGTGAGGAGTAATGGCGATGAGTGTCTCGGCCACTGCCGAGATCGAGCCATCGAAAGGCATGCACGACAGAATATATGCAGTCACGCTTGAGCCAGTAAAGAGGGATATAGTCAAATAGGGGTATGCTGGTTAAAGACCGTTGGACAAATGGGAAGATGACAATATATATATATATATATATATATATAACCAATGTTTTAAATGGCGGGGGCGTAAGGCGAGGCGTTTTACCTCTGACGAGGCGAGGCGTAAGCCCTGAGACATGGGGCGTAAGTCCCACGGATCTTTAAATTTTACTAATTTCAAGAATTTTAAAATAATATAAAATAAAAATAGTTATAAAAATTACATTAAAATCACAAAATTATAACAAATAATCTATTTAAAATATTCATAAATTATAATTCAACTACGAATAATACAAAAAGTATGACATATATCATACTATGCAAATTAGCTGCAACATCGTTACAACTCAAACATCAAAAGTACGTATTCGATGCGAAATCTTATATGTATATCTTAAGGAATAATCAATCTTGAAAGAATTTCGTATTATAATTTGATTTTTTTTTTTAAATACTCCTTTTATTTAATATGCTTTCTATGTAAAAGAGAATTTATATAAAAATACTATTCAAAATGTAAGTATGAGATCTCTAGCATCATTTATTTCAACAAATTAATAAAGTGACACATAATTCACCATCCTATATCATGATAACTAATTATTTATAAATACTAGCTAATACTGAGTTATTAAATTAATAAGTATTGTATTTCGTAACATGAAAAAAAAATTAGGAAAATAGTTATAAAAAAATTATGGACTAATATAATAAAGACATAACAAAAGTTAATAAATAAATACTTTTAACCGAAAGTTTTATTTAAAATTTACTATCATAGCAATCTTAGTGGATAATGTGCAATAAATTTTATTTTAATTATGACATAAAATACTCTCAACTTAATGATTCATGATTAAGAAAAAAAAGTAATTTTGAATAGTTAACGATTTATTAAGAAAATTTGAGGATTTACAAGGTTCTATTAGGCGAGCCCAGTACGTAAGGCGTTGGGCGTGTCCGGGGCGTAAGCCACGACGGTCGAGGCGTACGTCTCACGGAACTAAGCCCCACACATAAGCCCAGGAGCGTTTTACGAGTGCCCCGCCCCAGGGCGAGTCCCAATTCTGCATTTTAAAACAGAGTATATGACAGAAGAAAGCAAGAAGAGGGGGCCTCTCCCAGGGGAGACAAAGAAACAGAAGAACGGGAGGAGACCTCCAACAACAAAGTAGAAGTCTAAATTTTGGTTACAAGTTTTTGTAATCGTTACTATTGAATCAATAAAGATATATCTCTTAGCTCTCAATGATATTCCTTCTCTTTCTCCTTCGCTCTTTCAGATACAAAATAATTTGGTGTCAAAGATGTAAGCTTACCATTTACATTTGATGTTCTTTAATCATCCTAAGGAATGTTATGTAAGCTTAGTCTCATGTGATTCTCGTATTCAATATGTTTAGATCTAAAGTTAATTATTTTTGGCTAAGATTTATCCTCTAGTTTCTTCATTAATTAGTTTACTAAAAGGCTCAACACTTTTTGGTCAAACAATTTGGCGCCGGCTGTGGAGATTTCTTAGCCAAATTTTTTAGTTTCCTTTAGATCTAGAACTAGCCAAGTATTACTTCCAGGCTATCACAACCTCACCATCTCGGTACAAACACCAACTCGAAAAGAACGATAGATAAGTTTTTTAGATAACCGTACCAATCTAGGTCAGATCTATACATAAAATAGAAAAATTGTGACCGATATCTATGCAAGACCCATGCTCACCTGCAACGATGGGTTTGGCATGTCATATGCATGTTTAAAGTAGAACCACGGTCACTATGCGCTTGGCATGACCGCAATCCCATGTGATGTATTCACCTTGTATACCGGCATGTACTTCCACCTCTTAGGAAGGGATGACAGCCTACTGTGTGACCTTTTAAAATAGTTGGCATATCCTGCCTTATTTTCGTACCCAGACGCACTGGATGATTTATGAACAAAGTATAATATGTTTTCCCTTATTGTTTGCGCATATCGAACTGGGACTCGGCCTCGATACCCCAACGGGCAAGATGTAAGTCCAACTTGCGAGAAGCCTAGACTCGATTAACGGTGAAGCCGAACACGGCTGCCAAATCTGAAACCATCATTCGAGTACGAGGCAAAGCGAGCGACCCTACAGCGTCGTTCCTCCTTTCATCGACTTTCCAGGCCAAGGTAAGGCAATTTCGTTTGGGTTTAACTTATCACGCTCTCTTGTTGGTTCAGAACAGGAACACGAGCACTCTCATAGGTATGCGAACGAGGGACGAGCGCCACCAAAACACCCCAGGAAAAGGCTTCGTACCATGCTATCTCGTAAGTAACAACCGAGCAAAGCCCCCTAAGTCGTACCATACAATGAATAACAGAAACGGTTCGACATGGGTCGACTGTTGAAAAACAATCCCCAACAAAAGCAAAGTTAAGCAAACTAGACTCACCCATGAAACGCACAGTACTCCCCAATGAAAGCAAAAGTCAAGAAAACTGAGACTCGCCCGTGAAACGCATAATATTCTCCAATGAAAGCAAAATTAAGTGAACAGAGACTTTCCCCGACACACGCGAAAAGGACATGGGGAAAAGTAATGTTCTCCAATGAAAATAATACAGCGGGTAATAGTTTCGACCTCCCTTGAATTAACACCATTATGGCCATCGCCAAATGAAAGGAAAGTTCGACCTCGTTCGAATTTACAACGAGTTACAATTCCGACCTCGCTCGAATTAACACACTTATGGCCATCGGCCAACGCCAAAATGAAAGGAAAGTTCGACCTTGTTCGAATCTACAACGGGTTATAATTCCGACCTTGCTCGAATTAACACCCTTATGGCCATCGGCCATCGCTAAATGAAAAGAAAGTTAGACCTCGTTCGAATTTACAACGGGTTAAATTCCGACCTCGCTCGAATTAACACCCTTATGGCCATCGGCCATCGCCAAATGAAAGGAAATTTCGACCTTGTTCAAATTTACAACGGGTTACAATTCCGACCTCGCTCGAATTAACACCCTTATGGCCATCGACCATTGCCAAATGAAAGGAAAGTTCGACCTCGTTCGAATTTAAAACGGGTTATAATTCCAACCTCGCTCGAATTAACACCCTTATGGCCATCGGCCATCGCCAAATGAAAGGAAAGTTCGACCTCATTCGAATTTACAACGGGTTACAATTTCAACCTCGCTCGAATTAACACCCTTAAGGCCATCGGCCATCACTAAATGAAACGAAAGTTCGACCTCGTTCGAATTTACAACGGGTTATAATTCTGACCTCGCTCGAATTAACACCCTTATGGCCATCGGCCATCGCCAAATAAAATGGAAGTTCAACCTCGTTCGAATTTACAACGGGTTATAATTCCGACCTCGCTCGAATTAACACCCTTATGGCCATCAGCCATCGCCAAATGAAAGGAAAGTTCGACCCCGTTCAAATTTACAACGGGTTACAATTCCGACCTCGCTCAAATTAACACCCTTATGGCCATCGACCATCGCCAAATGAAAGGAAAGTTTGACCTCGTTCGAATTTACAATGGGTTATAATTCCTACCTCGCTCGAATTAACACCCTTATGGCCATCGGCCATCGCCAAATAAAAGGAAAGTTCGACCTTGTTCGAATTTACAATGGATTACAATTCCGACCTCGCTCGAGTTAACACCCTTATGGCCATCGGCCATCGCCAAATGAAAGGAAAATTCGACCTCGTTCGAATATATAAGTCAAAAGTTGACTTCGCCCAAGATGGCGACTCCAAATTCCACCTTGTTCGAATATATAAGTCAAAAATTGACTTCGCCCAAGATGGCGACTCCAAATTCGACCTCGCTCGAATATATAAGTCAGAAATTGACTTCGCACAAGATGGCGACTCCAAATTCTACCTCGTTCGAATATATGTCAGAAATGGACTTCGCCCAAGATGGAGAGACTAAATTCGACCTCATTTGAATTAAGGTCGGTTCCGCCTAAGTTGGCAAATCAGAAGTTAACCTCACCCGAACCGGCAAATCCAAAATGACTTCATTCGGACTCATACAATGAGATCCTACGCGATCTAGGCAAGGTCGAATGCCCAATTAAAAAGATTAGGGACTCATCACAGAAAATCAAAAGATACACAAATGAAGGCGAAGCAACTATTTCATTCAAGTATACATGCACGACAACCGTACCCTACAAAAGGCTGAAACGGGCCCTCAAGAAAAAGATGAAAATAAACAACAAAAGAATAAAAAAAACTAAGACAAAGGTTGCAGCAAAAGCTTCACTCAGTTTCTTCCCCTCCGCCGTTCTCCCCAACATCCTTATCATCAGAAGGGAGCCCATCCTCGACATCAACGCCCTCTCCAGCCTCCGGCATTGCAGGGTCGTAATCGCAGACAGTGCGAGCCTCGCGTGCCTTCGCCAGAACATCTTCAAAGGCGGCCTCTGGGACATTTCCCGCCTCCCATAAACCTTTGTATATATCACGTTAGGCCTCGACATGGACCCATAGCTCATACAAGCGGCGGGGAACAGTGGCCGAAGCAGACTCTTGAGGAGGAGCTTGAGCCAATAACTGCGCCTTCTCTGCTTTGAGAGCCGTAATTCGGTCTCCCAAGATCGAAGCGTCTCGATCAAGTTCACCAATTTTCTCCTCGAGCCATGCCTCCCTTAGCGTAGCCGTCGCTCTCTCAGACTCTTGCTCGGACGGGAGGACGCAGATAATATTCTCTAGTCCGCCGC